ACCACCCCCAACACCAACACCACCAACAACAACACACATCAACAGCAACACCAACACCACCACCAACACCAACAACAACACCCATCAACATCAACACCAACACTAACACCAATACTAATAGCAATACCAACAACAATAACCGCACTAGCAACAACAGCATTTCTTTTTGTGTGCTATCTATTTACATATAAACGTACAATTACATACAAACAAAATCGTTTTTTTTTCTTCAAGATACCTGTCCTGCTGGATATTACTGTCCATGGAACGAAAGTACAAAACACGAGTGTCCTTATGGAACGTATAGTGATAGCTCGACGAACGTCACCTACCACTGTACCAAATGTCCAGGAGAGTACCCTTCTTCCAAACCCATATCTTATTCTGGTCCTGTCAAATCAATCCAGGAATGTCCAAGAGTCACAGGTATCTAAGATATGAGAAACTAGTTTTAAAACGCTTCTTTCTTAGTTGAGATTTGGTGATAAAAAAAGCTGAGAAAAAAGCAGGAAAGACAAGGGGGAAAAGATAAAACAAGAAAAAGGAAAGAAAAAAAGAGAGAAAGAGGAAAAGAGATCGTCATTAAGACGTGTGTAAGAATTCTTTTGTGTTAACAATATTCTTCTTCTTCTCAGCTTCACAAAAACTCCTCCGCAACCCGACATCTAATAATGGTCTAGTTGTTGGTATCATCGCGGCTTTCTTCGCCGTTATTTTAATCGTCGTTGTTATCAAGTTCAAAAAGAAATGCAAGCAATTCCTGTTAAAGACAATAAGTGTAAACAGCTTAGTCGCAGATCCTGAATTGGTAATTAACGACTTCTGCGTTAATTCCGACTCTGAACAAAGGCTGTTTAATTCAGGTAAGCTAACTAAGAACAACCGTCTTCTCCTTTTTGGAGCATTTTAGCCCTACTTCGGGGGCGAAAGTCGTTGCAATATACGAAAATAGTATGCAGCGATCACACATAATGAATGGATAAGACAGGGATTTAATTTGCATCAGTAATCATCATTGTCATCATCATCATCATCATGTATCATTATCATCATCATATATCATCATTGTTATCATCATTATTATGTATCATAATCAATAATGTATCATTATCAACATGTATCATCATTATTATTGTCATCATGTATCATCATGTATCATTATCATCATTATTATTGTCATCATGTATCATCATCATGTATCATCATCATCATGTAT